AGATCCGGAAAGCGACCGTATGAATTACATGTTTGGCGGAGGAATGAGAAAATGTAAGCAATTTTTTATTTTAATAATGAGCACGATAAATAAATAAATATAAATATATTTTTATTTTGTTTACTGGCAGGTCCGGGCAGAAACCTAGCAATGGTGGAGCTTAAAGCCACTTTAGTAATGCTATATCGAAAATATGACATTGAGCTGATGAGTCCATTAAAGGAAACTATCAAGACGGTCAGGCGCTGTAGCGAATTAAAAATTAGGTTAAAAAGAAAATCCTGAAATAAACATTATTTAATCACATTACGTTGTGCGGAAATATTGTTGTCCGAAGCGTAGTTGTCCGAAGCGTAGCGTAGGACTACCATTCTATACCAAACCTGACCGTCTTTGTCTGTTCGCACGCGTAATTTTTTTTGACTAATATGTACTGTTAACCTATTTAATAAACCTTAAAATTAAATAGATTAATAGACAACAGTAGCAAGGAACCACTTGATAATATAGTATATTTAATCCACTTTTATTTTGAATTTTTTTGACAAATACACAAATGAAAATATGCAAGTGAAAACTTACTATATAGTATTACTTGGTCGATAAAAAAAAAAAAAAACAAAAAAAAAGGTCGTCCGATCACGTGACCGAATTATTTAATTTATTAAGATTGCATTTATGATGACATTAAAATAATTATTTGTTGCTAAAAATCAAAATATTTGTCGATTATCCATGGTACCCTTGCTTATCGTATCCCATATAGGTTCAAGTCCCAAAGTCAGGCCAAGCCTGACCCTCTGTCAAATATTTGAGCAAGATATTTCTGGCACCATTCATGTCCCGATCCATCTCCACTTTGCACGAATCACATTTGAACATTTTTAATCCTCCGAGGTCATTCTTCACAAACCCACAACACCCGCATGTCTTGGACGTGTATTCCTCGGTGCACTCGATGATCTTGCAAATGTGGAACTCCCTTGCCTTATGTTTTAAGAACATCCGGAACCTAAAATACGATCAAGTCAGCATTGCGCGAGCAGTCTTAGACCGAATCTTTCTCTTATTCTTTAAAACCATTCTCGAAGATTCGAATTTAGGTAACAAGATGATCTCGTAATTCGT